ACTCTTAGTCCTTTCATTATGATCAATTGTGAACTGAAATTGATCACTTGGAATAGTGAGATGGCATTGGTACATGCCACCTTGATGGGATTGAATTGGAATCCCCTGGTATGTTTCTAGCTCTAAGTTGTTGGTAGATTTCTGAATGTGAGCCATTCTCTCCGGGGTTAGGTGAAACCTCATTGTGGTTTTGATTTGCATTTCCTTGATTGCTAGTGATCTTGAACATTTTTTCATGTGTCTGTTGGCCATTTGGATTTCCTCTTTTGAAAAATGTCTATTGAGGTCCTTAGCTCATCTCTTAAGTGGGTTGCTTGTTTTGTTGTTGTAGAGTTTCTTGATCTTTTTGTAGATTCTGGTTATTAACCCTTTATCTGTTGCATAGTTTGCAAATATTTTTTCCCATTCTATCTGTTGCCTCTTGACTCACCTGACTGTTTCTTTTGTAGTACAGAAACTTCTCAATTTCATGCAATCCCAATATTTAATTTTGGCTTTGACTGCCTGTGCTTCTGGGGTGTTTTCCAAGAAGTCTTTGCCGGTGCCAATATCATGTAGGGTTTCTCCAATGTTCTCTAATAATTTGATGGTGTCAGGTTGTAGATTTAGATCTTTAATCCATGTAGAGTGGATTTTTGTGTAAGGTGTAACGTAGAGGTCTTGCTTCATGCTTCTGACATGGAAATCTAGTTTCCCAGAACCATTTGTTGAATAGACTGTCCTTACTCCAGGAATTGGTTTTGGTTCCTTGATCAAATATCAGTTAGCTGTAGAAGTTTGGATTGATTTCTGGTGTTTCTATTCTGTTCCATTGGTCTATCCATCTGTTTCTGTACCAGTACCATGCTGTTTTGATAACAACTGCCCTGTAGTATGTCCTGAAATCTGGTATTGTGATGACTCCAGCTTTGTTCTTATTGTACAAGATTGCTCTAACAATTTGAGGTTTCCTGTGTCTCCATATGAATTTGAGCATCATTTTTTCTAGATCTGAGAAGAATGTCTTCGGTATCTTGATTGGTATCACATTGAAACTATAAATTGCCTTTGGGAGAATGGACATTTTGACGATGTTGATTCTTCCAATCCGTGAGCATGGAAGGTTTTTCTATTTTTTGGTATCCTCTTCTATTTCTTTCTTTAAGATCTCTCCTTTTCATCGTATAGATCTTCAACATCCTTGGTTAAGTTTATTCCAAGGTATTTGATTGTTTTTGTGGCTACTGTGAATGGGATAGATCTTAGAAGTTCTTCCTCAGCCATGGCATTGTCTGTGTATACAAAGGCTGTTGATTTTTGTGCATTGATTTTATATCCTGCTACTTTGCTAATAGTCTCTTAGTAGAGTTCTTTGGATCCCCTAAATAAAGAATCATATCATCGGCGAAGAGGGATAGTTTGACTTCATCCTTCCAAATTTGTATTCCTTTAATTTTCTTTTTCTTGCCTAATAGCTCTGGATAAAACTTCCAGAAGTATATTGAATAGCAGTGGTGAGAGTGGGCATCCATATCTGGTACCAGATCTTAGTGGAAGTGATTCCAAATTTCCCCATTCAATAGTATGCTGGCTGTGGGTTTTTCATAAATTGTTTTGATTGTATTGAGGAATGTTCCTTCTATACCCAGTAGTCTTAGAATTTTCATCATGAAAGGCTGTTGTATTTTATTGAATCCTTTTTCTGCACCTATTGAGATAATCATATGGTTTTTCTTCTGTAGTTTGTTAATGTGGTATATCACATTGATTGATTTGTGGACATTGAACCATCCCTGTATACCAGGGATAAATCCCACCTGGTCTGGGTAGATGATCTTTCTGATGTGTTGTTGCATTCTATTGGCCAGAATTTTATTGAGGATTTTTGCATCTGTGTTCATCAGGAATATTGGTATGTAAATGTCTTTTAATGCTGCATCTTTTTCTGGATTAGGGATTAGGTGATGCTGGCATCATAGAAAAAATTTGGGAGGATTCCCTCTGTTTTCTATTGTTCTGAATAGTATGAGAAGAATTGGAGTTAGTTCTTCTTTAAATGTCTGGTAGAATTCAGTAGTGAATCCATCCAGACCGGGGCTTTTCTTTGTAGGGATTTCATTGCTGTTTCAATTTCTGTCTCAGTACTGGGTGTGTCTAGGTTTTCTATGTCTTCATAGTTCAATCTAGGAAGTTGCATGTGTCCAGGAATCTCTCCATCTGATAGGTTTCCCTGTTTGCTGGCATACAACTCTTTGTAGTAATTTCTGATGATTCTTTTTATTTCTGTGGTATCTCTTTTTACATTTCCCTTTTTCATCTCTGAGTTTATTGTTTTGTGTATTTTCTCTCTTTTTTTTTAGTTGGGTTCATGATTTGTCAATTTCATTTATTTTTTTTTTCAATAAACCAGGTCTTCATTTGGCGGATTTTTTGTCCTTTTTTTTTTGGATTCATTCCTGTTGATTTCTTCTCTGATTTTAATTATTTCTCTTTTCCTACTAGATTAGGTCTGGTTTGCTGCAGTTGTTCTAGATGCCTGAGATGCATTGAAAGCTCATTTATTTGATGCCTTACTAATTTCTTGATGTGGTCATCTATTGCTATGAACTTTCCTCTCAACACTGCTTTTGCTGTACCCATAAGTTTTGATATGTTATGTTGTTATCCTAATTTCTTACAGAAAGTTTTTGATTTCTCTTTTGATTTCTTCTCTGACCCAATGTTCATTCAAGAGCATGTTCTTCCTTCTCCATGTGTTTGCATACACTCTAGAGATTCCTGAGTTGCTAATTTCCAACTTCATTCCTTTATGGTCTGAGAAGCTGCATGGTATGATTGTACTTCTTTTGAATTTGCTGAGACTTGCTTTATGGCCTATTATGTGGTCAATCCTAGAGAAGATTCCATGTACTGCAGAGAAGAATGTAAAATCTTTACATGTAGGATTGAAAGTTCTGTAGATATCTGTTAGATCCATTTGGGCAATAGTGTCGATTAAATCTGCTGTTTCCTGTCTTTCTTCTGTCCTGTTGATCTGTCTATTTCTGAGAGTGGAGTATTGAAGTCCCCCAATACTAATGTATTGGAATATAAGTCTCCCTTTAAGTCCCTTAACATATCTTGTAAATAAACCAGTGCCCTGTAAATAGGGTCATATACATGTATAATATTGCAACTTCCTGTCGAATTGAACCCTTAATCATTATATAGTGCCCCTCTTTGTCTCTCTTAACAGTTTTTGTCTTAAAGTTTATTTTTCTGACATTAGTATGGCTACAGCTATTTTTTTGGTTTCTGTTGGTATGGAATATCTTTTTTTTTCCAACCTTTACTTTCAGTCTGCATGCATCTTTGTTGGAAAGATGTGTTTCTTCAAGGCTAGTGTCTGCTAATACTAACTGATAGAATCAAAAAGGGAGAGAACGATCCATCATGGGATGCGGGATACACAGCAGACTCATAGAATGGCAGATGTCCTAAACAGCACTCTGGGCTCAGAATCAGCCCTTAAGGCACGCGGATTTGGCTGAAAAGCCCATGAGATTATTTCAGGCATGGAAAGCCAAGACACTCTGGAAAAAAAATAGAAGACCGAAATGAAAGATCTCTGTGAGTGAGATTCCAGTGGAAAGAACAGGGCCATCAAAGAAGGAGGTACCTTTCTCTGAAGGGAGGAGACAACTTCCACTTTGACTATGACCCTGTCGGAATAAGATTGAAGTCAGAAAACTCAAAAGGCTTCCATAACCTTGGCAACTCATGACTAGAGCCTAGGGAGATTACTGACGCCATAAACAAGAGTGTCAAATTGTTAAGTCAACAATAGGAGTCACTGTGTACTTACTCCTCATGTGGGATCTGTCCTTAATGTGTTGTCCAATGTGAAGTAATGCTATAACTAGTACTGAAACAGTATTTTACACTTTGTGTTTCTGTGTGGGTGCAAACTGATGGAATCTTTACTTAATATATACTAAATCAATCTTCTGTATATAAAGAGAATTGAAAATGAATCTTGATGTGAATGGAATGGGAGAGGGAGCGGGAGATGGGAGGGGTATGAGTGGGAGGGAAATTATGGGGGGGAAGGCATTGTAATCCATAAACTGTACTTTGGAAATTTATATTTACTAAATAAAAAAATTAAAAAAAGTTGTGTTTCTTGTAAGCAGCAAATAGATGGGTTTTCTTCTTTAATCCATTCAGCCAGTCTGTGTCTTTTTTTTTTTTAGGTTTTAAATATCTTTTTGCAGTAGATAATCTTATTTACATGGATACAGAATCATTTTACATTCTTAAATCAGACACTAGTAGATGTTTTATTTTTGTAAATCATAAAGGAAAGCAGAAAGGAAACTACAGGAAGTGTTCTTCATCAACCTGCCTTACAACATCTCAAAGACGCTGAAACAGAAACTGCAACGTGCTCCCAGCAGGGGCTGGGAGACAAGTCTTGCGCTCCAGCTCTATGTCAACTGCTTAGATGCTGCACTCCTTTCTGAACATTTACACAGGCAAAGACAGTGATTCTTAGCACTGAATAATTTAAACACACTTTGGAAAACAGATGTCAACAGTGATAGTGGGGAGAACCGACTTCCCACTGTGCTTGAAGTCTCTCTGGCAGAGCCACAGTGGTGGTGGCTCAGAAGAGCAGGAGTCACCACACCTGTTTAGGACAACAGAACTCAATAGGTGGGGACCAGTGGCTGTCCAGGCGTGGGTGGCAGAAGGACTACCCAAGGACCGCCACACATGTGGTCAGGAAGGGAGCCTCTAGGAACACTCTGGCCTTCATCAGTGCCTCCCCAGACCCCAAACACCGACTTTCCAGCTGCTCTGTACCTTTGGGAATCGCAGCAAACTTTACCCAGCAGAGCCCGTAGTGGGAGGAAGGTGCTGATGTGCGTGTGGGCCCCAGGTTCCTGGTGAGGACAGCCTGTCAGGAAGCATTCACTCCAAAATCTCCCACAGGTTTGCTGAGAGGGAAACCAACTGCTTCACAATTGGGTGCAGCTTAAGGCTTCATTGTTAGGCTGTAAGCAGGGCCTTTAGTTCTAGCTATGACCTCCACCACACTGGATTCCAAATCAGAGTTTAGTGCTGCAAGAAATGTCTAAGTGTCTTACCCTGTCTGAGCCAGGGAGGCTGAGTCACCCACCTGTGGACATGAGCCCTCTACAGCCCTTGGTGTTGTATCTCACTGCCCAAGGGCCATCCACCATGACCTTCTGAGGAGAAATGGTTGTCACATGATTTTGCTGTTGCCAGGCAGTCAAGAGGGCTCTTCAGGAGAGGCTCAGTGCTGCTTTTCCGGAATCTTCCTGTCTCCAAGGCGCCCTGGCCACAGGGAGGGGTTGCTGGTTTCTGGCCTAGTTTCCGGTAGACCATTTTCCTCAGCTGGGATATCAGAAGGTAAACATTTTCTTAAGTTTGGAAAGGAATCCCTCGTCCTCCCCAGCCTCGGGCCTAGCCTTGCTTCCTGCGGAGCTATCATGGTGCTGCCACCAGTGCTTGTGTGGGTGATGCCGTTCACTGTCCACTCCACGTCAGTGTCATCCTCAGCATAGCTTAGGATCAGGCTCTGTTGCCGGCTCGTTAGCCTCTTTGGAACTCTGATCTTGACATGAATGTAGTGATCTCTGTAGCCATAGCTGTTAATCCTGGGGATGCCTTTCCCGCTCAGCTGAATCTTCTGGTCTGTCTGAATCCCAGGGGGGATCGTCACGTTGATTGTCTCGTACAGGCCTTGAGCTCTGGCTGTTCCCCCCAGAATGGCCTGAGCTTTAGAAGTGAAGAGGTCCGAGTGGATGTCTGCACCATCCCTCCGGAACACAGGGCTCTTCTGCACCCTGAACGTGACGAAAATTTCTCTTTTTCCCACAGGCATCCTCACAGTCTGGCCATCCTCAACTCCAGCAGGCACTGGGATCACCACTCGCTTCTTCTGCTTGGCTTGTCCCGCTCCCCTGCAGACCACACAGAGAGTTGTGATGATAGAGCCACGGCCACTGCATCTCCGACACGTGGAGCGCATCACAAAAGGACCCGTGTTGATGGTTTCCATGCCGGAGCCGCCACAGTAATGGCAGTGCTGCACCTTGGTGCCGGGCTCGTTCCCCTTGCCGTCAAATCGCTCACAGGTATCCATGATGTTCACAGTGAACTCCTTGTTGACGCCCTTGGCCGCCTGATTGAATGTCAACTCCATGATGTATTCCTGAGGCTGATCAAACATGCCCTGGAAATCTCCAAATGAAGATGAGGAGAACTCCCTGAAGATCTTCCTGAACAGCTCCTCAGGGTCAACGGTGGGGCCGCCTCTCCAGTTGCTCTGCCCAGAGCTGCCAGCCCACGGATCAAACCCTGCAGATCCATAGGCATCGTACTGCTTCCTCTCCGCCTCGTCACTCAACACCTCATAGGCTTCCGGCAGCTGGGAGAACTTCTCCTTGGCTTTGGGGTCATCCTTATTCATGTTAGGGTGATATTTCTTGGCAAGCTGGTAATAGGCTTTCTTGATATCTTTCTGGCTGGCATTTTGAGGCACTCCTAAAATCTGGTAATAATCTTCTTTGGCCAAAGGCACACTCGTGTGGAAGGAGGCAGTACAAATAAAAGGGTAACTTTTTGCTCCTGTGAGGCTGACACCGGGTCTCAATGTCAGCAGCGCCCGGGGACTGCCAGCGCCCAGGGAAGGCGCGAAGGCAACGACGCTCAGCTTGCGGCCCAGCGAGGCCTCCAATACGCCCTCCCTGGGCGGCCGAGCCCCTGTTCCCGCTACAGCTGGCAGCCGGCGGGACCCCACAGCCACCAGCAACCAGCGTGTGGTACACTGCGCCGCCATCTTGGCCCGGAGACCGTCTGTGTCTTTTAAATGGAGAGTTGAGGCCATTAATATTCAATGTGACTACTGATAAGCCGTAACTTTGCCCTGCCAATTTCCAAGAAATATTTTCTAATATATGCTTTGAACTTCCTGTGTTCTTTTACTGGGAGTTTTTCTTCTTTTTCCTACTTTCATATTGATGACCGTGTTTCTGTGTTTCTGTGTGTAGCACATCTTTAAGCATCTTTTGCAACTCTGGATGAGTGGTGGCAAACTCTTTCAATTTCCATTTGCTATGAAAGGTCTTTATTTCACCTTCATTCACAAGTGAGAGCTTTGCAGGATATAATATTCTGGGCTGGCAGTTTTTCTCTCTTAGTACCTGGGCTATGTCTCGCCATTCCCTCCTATCTTATAGGGTTTCTGATGAGAAGTCAGCTGTGATTCTAATTGGAGATCCTCTGAGAGTAATTTGACGTTTCTCTCTTGCACATTTTAGGATCTTTTCTTTATGTTTCACTGTGGTGAGTTTGATTAACATGTGTAATGGTGAGGATCTCTTTTGTTCATGTTTATTTGGGGTTCTATGAGCTTCCTGTACTAGGATGTCTCTGTCCTTCTCCAAACCTGGGAAATTTTCTGCTAGTATCTCACTAAAAAGGCCTTCTAATCATTTCTCTCTCTCCATGCCTTCAGGAACTCCTAGAACTTGAATGTTGGGTTTTTAAAAAGGATTTTGTAGATTCCCCACAATATTTTTTAGATTTCTAATTTCCTCTTCTTTTCTTTGGCTTGACTGTATACTTTCTTGTGCTCTGTCTTCTATGTCTGATATTCTCTCTTCTGCTCCACTGATTCTCTTTTTAAGGCTCTCAAATGCATTTGTCATTTGATCTATTGAATTCTTCATTTCATGATGATTTCTCTTCACTATCATAATTTCATGTTCTACTAGTTGCTTTATTTCATTTTGATTGCTGCTTATTATTTCATTTCATGAGAGAGAGTTTCTATCCTGTCTAGTAAGGATTTCTGTAGTTTAAGAATTTGTTTTTGAGAACTTGTTAATGTTCTTATCAATGTTTTGAGATCCATATCTTGCATTTCTTCTATCTCATCATCTTCATAATCTTGTATTGGGGGTGTTTTGTTCATTTGGGGGCATCATAATATCTTCCTTGTTTTTTCCTTGGTCTGCGTTTGTTGGTTGGCATTGTGGAGATAATCTTTTGTTTCTTCACTGTGGTGTTTTTTCTTGTAATACTATGACTCTAGATTAAGTGGACTGTCTGCTTTTGATGGATCCTGAGAGGCTGTGATGGGTTTTTCCAGAGAGCTCTGTTTGGTTCTTCAGGGTTAAGGGTGTGCCAAAGGTGACACACCCCGTTTAGGAGTGTAAATCTTCTCTCTCTCTCTCTCTTTCTCTCTCTCTCTCTCTCTCTCTTTCTCTCTCTCTTTTTGATTCAGAAGGGAAGTAATTCCAAACATCTAAGTGGAATTGAAGGTAGTCATTTTCTATAATCTGGCCCCTGTGTGTATAATATTCATCTGCTCTACCCGTAGGGCCACACAAAGGATCTGTATAGATCTCAGTGTAAACTCAAATTCCTCTGCAGTCTCCCACTAGGTTTTCAAGGTTACTGAGTATGTGTACTCTCCGGAGAGTACACATGTCTCGGGTACTCTGTGAGTTCTCTCCCACACTCAGTTTTTCACAGTCACAGTTCATTAGCTCCACAGATTCACTATGTCCTAACCTCCTGTTATTTCTCCCCACCAGAGTCAGGTTTTTCTGCTTGGCTGATGGCGGGCACAGGTTTTACATATATACAAAATGGCGCCTGCTCTTTGTCTTGCTTGCCTTTGTAAGGTGAGTGGAGAGAGAGACTCGTGTCCATACTGGTCCCTTTTTTTAAAAAGATTATTTATTTATTTATTTATTTTTGACAGTCAGAGTGGACAGTGAGAGAGACAGAGAGAAAGGTCTTCCTTTTTTCTGTTGGTTCACCCCCCATGGCCACTGCGGCCAATTTGCTGCAGCCGGCGCACCACGCTGATCTGAAGGCAGGAGCCAGGTACTTCTCCTGGTCCTCCATGCAGGGCCCAAGGGCTTGGGCCATCCTCCACTGCACTCTCAGGCCACAGCAGAGAGCTGGACTGGAAGAGGAGCAACTGAGACAGAATCCAGCACCCCAACTGGGGCTAGAAGCCGGTGTGCTGCTGCTGCAGGCAGAGTATTAGCCTATGAAGCTGTGGCACCTGCCCATCCCGGTCCCTTTTATTTATTTATTGCTTTCTCTCCTCTAGTTAGCCTGGTGAACTTTCCTCTATGGGGCTTCAAGCCCTGTTCTCTCTAAGCTCTTCCTGCCATTTCCCCGCTGATGTCTCTGGGTACTGAGGTCTCGCCTCACCTTCCTTTCCAGTGCTGGTGCATATACTCTGTGACTGGTTCCCGAGCCATGGGTGCCCTTGCCCTCCATGTAGTTCCACTGTGTCCCACTAGTTCTGGAAGCGTTTGCTCTATAATTTCCCCCTAAATTTTCCCTGAAACTACAGTATTTCCACTTTTATTAAACTATCTTTTCCTGGACTATCAATGCACGCCCTCTCTATTCCACTATCTTGGAAGACCTGGATTTAATTTTGTTGATATCTTCTCCAATTTTAATTATTTCCTTTCTCCTACTAGTTTTGGATTTGGTCTGTTGTTTTTCTAGATCCTGAAGATGCAGTGATAACTCATTTATTTGGTGTCTTTCCAATATTTTGATGTAGGCATCAATTACTATAAACCTTCCTCTTCACACTGCTTTTGCTGTAGCCCATAAGTTTTGATGTTATATTGTCGTCTTCAATTGTTTCCAGAAGTTTTTTGATTTCTCTTTTGATTTCTTCTATGAACCACTGTTTTTGTTCAAGAGCATGTTGTTCAGTCTCTATGTGTTTGTTTATATTCTAGATATTCCCCAGCAATGTCCCTCACCTGGTAACCCTGATTTTGCGGATCCTCCCAAAGTGAGTGCACAGTGTCCCAGCTACACCTTGAATCTTCCCACACAGTTTCAATGTTTTCACAGTCCTGGCACACAAGCCTCCTATAGTCACATCATCCAGCTCCCTGAATGTTCTCTCCACCAGATTAAGGAGTCTCTGCTTGGCTGGTTTCTGGGCATGGCCACAAGCTAATACAGGTGTTCTGTATGTCTAAAATGGTGTCTGTTGTCTGTCAATTTGTTACCAGATGCCTTTACAGGGTGATTGGAGAAAGAGAAAACGTGCCCCACTTTTGTTTTTTCTCCTCTAGTTTGGCTGCTCTACTGTCTCCAATGGGGCTCCAAGCCAGATTCCCTGTAGGCTTTTCCTGAAGCTTTTTTGCCAGTAACTTGAGCTGCTGCAGTCTGATCTCACACCACTCTCCAATGCTGGTGTGAAGGCTGTTGGCTGCTGGGTCCTGAGTTGTGCATGTCCTCACCCTCCACATAGGTGCACTGTGCTCCTCCAATTTGTGTAGTTTCCTCTGCTGTTTTCTCCTTAACTCTTCACTGAGACTGTATGCTTTCCACTTTTTAAAAACTATCTTCTCCTAGACTCAAGCAGAAAGCTCCTTCCCTACTCTTCCATCTTTATCCAGTCATTTTCAAAGTTGATCATGCATTGGGGAAATAGGAATAATGAGGTTTTTGTTTGTTTGTTTATTTTTGCAGAACACTTGCAACCAACACAAATTTCTGTAGACTGCAGTTACCTCTGGGTCCACTAGTCCAAATAAGGCAAATTTTAGCTCAGGCCTCTCTCACAATGAGACAAATGGGTATCAGAACCCATCCTGTGGTTTATTTCTTCAGTTTCAGAATGAAGAGTTGGAAGACATAACTTCAGCAGTTGGTAAACTCTACACACTGGCTCCCTGCCTCATGGAGTTAGACTTGTTATGATGAGGAAGGCCAAGTAAAAGACATTTCAGTAAGCCAAAAACAATTTTGCATTTCTGGAAGAGATATCAGCATTAATGCCACAATCAAGGACTTGAACAATCCAGGATGATCCTTCTAACCATAGCATCATTCAAGTTTGCTGTTTGGGCCTTTGTAGAAAAACAGATATTTCCTGGAGAATAATACTAAATTATCATAAATATAATCAACTGTAATTCCTATTCCAGATAATTTGAAATGATAATTCCAATATTGTTCCAATAATTCCAATGATAATTCCAATATTATTATAGATGGATGAAGCTGTCAGAAACTATGAAGTGTTTGAGGTTTTACTGTACCTCAAGCTAACATGTTAGCCTAGTGGAGTTTCATAAATGGTGGCGAAAGATATGAGACTCTTGTGGTCGGTGCTGTGGCACAGTGGGTTAAAGGCCCAACCTGCAGTGTCAGCATCTCGTATGAGTGTGGGTTCGAGTCCCAGCTGCTCCTCTTCTGATCCAGCTCTCTGCGATGGCCTGGGAAAGCAGTAGAAGATGGTCCAAGTCCTTGGGACCCTGCGCCTGAGTGGGAGACCCAGAAGAAGCTCCTGACTTGTGGATTCAGATCAACTCAGCTCTGGCCATTGCGGTCATTTAGGGAGTGAACAAGCTGAATGGAAAACCTATCTCTCTCTCTCTCTCTCTCTCTCTCTCTCTCTCCCTCTCTGGCTATACTTTCAAATAACTCTGTCTTTCAAATAAATAAAAAAATTCTAAAAAATATTATTCATAACAGAGCAAACAAAGTGAGTTTCATGTTAGTTCTCCTTTATTCACAAGTCTATGGAACAATGCAGAGGAGTTTAGGTAGAACCAGATAACTCATTAGACTTGTTTTAGATCTGAGGATTCCAAAATTAAGTAACTTTGATTTTTTAAACTTTTATTTAATAAATATAAATTTCCAAAGTACCGCTTTTGGATTACAGTGGCTTTTTCCCCCCATAACCTCCTCCCACCCACAACCCTCCCATCTCCCACTCCCTCTCCCATCCCATTCATATTAAGATTCATTTTCAATTATCTTTATATACAGAAGATCAATTTACTATTTCAACAGTTTGCACCCACATGGAAACACAATTATAAGTACTGTTTGAGTACTAGTTATACTGTTAATTCACTTAGTACAACACATTAAGGAAAGAGATCCTACATGGGGCATAAGTGACTCCTGTTGTTGACTTAGCTAATTCACACTTTTACTTATGACGTCAGTAATCGCCGAGGCCCTTGTCATAAGTTGCCAAGGCTATGGAAGCCTTTTGAATTCACCAACTCTGATCTTATTTAGACAAGGTCATAGTCAAAATGGACGTTCTCTCCTCCCTTCAGAGAAAGATACCTCCTTCTTTGATGGCCCGTTCTTTCCGCTGGGTTGTCACTCACAGAGATCTTTCATGTAGGTCATTATTTTTTGCCAGAGTGTCTTGGTTTTCCATGCCTGAAATACTCTCATGGGCTTTTTAGCTGGATCCGAATGCCTTAAGGGCTGATTCTGAGTCCAGAGTGCTGTTTAAAACACCTGCCATTCTATGAGTCTGCTGTGTATCCTGCTTCCCATGTTGGATCATTCTCTCCTTTTTAATTTTATCAGTTAGTAAGCAGACACTAGATTGAATTGGAATCCCCTGGCATGTTTCTAACTCTACCATTTGGGGCAAATCCGATTGAGCATGTGCCCAACTGTACATCTCCTCCCTCTCTTATTCCCACTCTTATATTTAACAGGGATCACTTTTCAGATAAATTTAAACACCTAAAAATAATTGTGTGTTAATTAAAGAGTTCAGCAAATAGTATTAAGTAGAACAAAAAAATACTAAAAGAGATAAAGTATTACGTTGTTCCTTGACAGTCAGGACAAGGGCTGATCAAGTCACTGTTTCTCATAGTGTCCATTTCACTTCAACAGGTTTCCTTTTTGGTACTTGGTTAGTTGTCATTGATCAGGGAGATCATATGATATTTGTACCTTTGGGACTGATTTAATTCACTCAGCATGATGTTTTCCAGATTCCTCCATTTTGTTGAAAATACCGGATTTCATTTTATTTTTTACTGTTGTATGGTATTCTATGGAGTACATATCCCATAATTTCTATATCCAGTCTACTCTTGATGGGCATTTAGGTTGAATCCAGGTCTTAGCTATTGTGAATTGAGCTGCAAAACATTAAGGTTATTATAAGCTTAAACATTAGGGTTATTAATTTGATGGTGCTGGGTCGTAGATTTAGGTCTTTAATCCATGTTGAGTGGATTTTTGTGTAAGGTGTAAGGTAGGGGTCTTGCTTCATGCTTCTGCATGTGGAAATCCAGTTTTCCCCACACCATTTGTTGAATAGAGTGTACTTACACCAGGAATTGGTTTTAGATGCTCGATCAAATATCA